TAAACCCTGTAACTGGGGGGGGGGGGGGGGCCTATTAACCTATGACACGTAAATGGCACAGCCTTGCTTGTTGAGAGAGAACTTGAAGCACTAACGAATGAAGGTCAAAGAATACAGCCTTCTGCCTGGCTTACACCTCAAGAGAGAGGAAACAAAATTCCTCACAGCTGGGCAAATAAGCAACATCATGATCAAGGGAGAAGAGATCAAAGTTGTCATAGATTTCATGCTACTTGGATCCATAAGCAAAGCCTATAGAAGCAGTCATCGTGCAACCAAGTGGAATATCGCAATGGACAAGTATGCTGCCAAAGACTCCTTTCTCTAAAGTGTTAAAGAGCAAAGATGTGACTGAGGCCAAAGGTGCATCTGACCCAAGGCAGCTATTTTCAATCACCTCAGAAGCATGCTAACTCAGGACAATGAAATAAGGGAGATAAGAATGAACTGATGTCTTTGACTCATAGTACTGGCAAAGAACAGTGAATACACCATGGACTGCCAGAAGAGCAAAGAAATGTTTAGCAAGAAGTACAGCCAGAATGCTTCTTTGAAGCAAGGATGGCAGGACTTCATCTCCTGTTCTTGGACATGTTATCAGGAGGGATCGGTAAACAAAACATAGCCAAGTTACAATGAAGTACCAAAAGTAAGCTGAAACAGGAATTAAGAATATAAATCACTACCCACTGTGGCTTCATGACGCCCTAAATAATAAAAATCAAGCTTACAATGTATACTTGACTGCAATCAACCCAACACTAAACAATAATTAAATATAAATGACTTTATCTGCCCAACTTTAAATAGTAATTAAAAAAACATCCAAATTCTTGCTATAACAAGTAACCACATTAGAGTCAAAATGCATATAAAACTAAGAGCATGAGTTACTCTTTGACCCATTTACTGACCAGAGAAAGTCTGCTTAAATGTGCTATCCCACATAAAAAAGCTGGTGCTCGTGGTGTTTTTTCAAAATGTAATCTTGTATTTTACCTATACACATCACTGAGCATTTATTAGTAATTTATTTTACGGACAGGACCATCTTTTGTTGTTTTACATTAATACGGTAGTCATTCATTGTTTCACTATACTACACTAATACAGTAGTCATTGACTGTCTCTACAATACAGATAATTTGATCTAAAACAATTTCTAAATCCAGGGAAAGTTCTTTAACATGAAGGCAACTCCCTACTATTGTATATAATTTAAATGTCCGGAGGATTCATGCAGAATATTTTTTATTTCTAGTCACAATTTTAACTCTGTAAGTGAGTAAGAAAATAACAATTCAATGGCATAGAACAACAGTTCGCAACCTGTGGGTCGCGACCTCTTTGGGGGTCCAACGACCCTTTTACAAGGGTTGCCCGATTCATAACAGTAGCAAAATTAGTTATGAAGTAGCAACAAAACTGATTTTATGGTTGGGGGAGCCCCAAAACATGAGGAACTGTATTAAAGGATTGTGGCATTAAGAAGGTTGAGAACCACTGTCTTAGAATGTTCCATTGTATCTCAAAAAAGCCAAAACCATTCGTCTTACTGTCTCTAAGCCAAAGTCTACTGGAAAGTTTCACAATCTGACTTCCATTATCCACCCTGAGTGAGCACCTTGTATGCACATGTACACACAGTCATCTGGAAAGACAGAGAGGACAGGACAGGAAAGATTAGCTCAGAGCCTAGTAAGACTGCAATGAGATCCTGGCTCCATCTATATCAAGAGGTTGGGAAATGAATGCCCATCCCAAGGTTCATGATGGCAGCTACTGTTGTCAAGCAAGCTCTGTTGTTGAATCCACATTTCAACCCTAAGATACGTATGATCACTGTACCATAAAGAAAGCAAAGGTGGATCCCTACACAGTGACCTGAATTCCTATTTGACCTAAATCACAAAGCAAGTGGCAGTGTCAACACCTTTTATGTCAAGTAAACAGCAAATACACAGTCATTATTAAACCTAATTATTACACTCGTATTCTTGTTATGGTAGTTACATAATCTCCTGTCAACTTGAGTGAAGGAGTGGAGTCTAGCCAATCAATCAGGTCATAGCCAATGAGGCCTCTGTGTGGGCATGGCCTTCTCCTGAAGATTCTGAGGCCTCCTGTCTTCTTCCTGGAGGCAGGACACACACTCTCTCGGCTTCCCATTCCTGATGGTAAGCCAGATGGAGCCAGAACCCTGGAGCTGGAGGAGCCACTTGGGAGACCCGTGCGAGCACTGAGATGCTTCCACCACCACTGGATCCACAAGACTTTCCACCCACTGGTCTATGTTCTTCTGGCATTCAGCAACATTGCATGTGTTGCGTGGGACTGAAGAGGAATTTATAGACTGGTATTGGACATATGGACTAATATTTGACTTATCTGGACTAGACTGGGATGTTTCCTCAATATACAATTGCTCTTTATATAAAACTCTTATATACATATGAGTGTCTATAAATTTGTTTCTCTAGTCAATCTGTCCTGCAATATTGCTTTTTAATGAGAAAAAACAAAAACAAAAACTTCCTCAGACCCCATTTTCCCCTCAGTGACATTTTAATGGCTCCATTCCAGGCTCCATTCCACCCCCAGACTCCTGATTTGGGAATTCCACTTAGGGCTCCTTGTTGCTCCAGGAGGAGTTTCAGGGTGGTGCAAAAGGTAAAGAAGCTCCCCAATTCACCAAAGGGTTGTTGATTCAAACCTGGCCCCTGGTGCCATGCATGTCTGTTGCTCCAGGTTGAAAGGCATTGAAGAGTCTACGGAGTGCAGTTCTGCTCTGCAACACAAGGGGCTGCTGTGACTCAGGAGTAGCTCAAAGGTCAGTGGTCCAACCTAGTTTGTTTGGTTGTCCCAATGACCACACTCATTTACTGGCTCAGCATAGCCATGTGACTCACTTGAATGCACTGCAATAGGACAAATGCAATTACTATAACCTTGAAAACTCTATAAGGCTCTATGAACTCTATGAACTCGATCACCTCGGCGGGAGTGGGTTCAGTTTTACGCAGTCCTCAAAGCTGGGGCAGTCATCATCTTTTGATGAAGGAAATCTAGGCAACATCATTAACACACTGGATAAACTCTGCCTGAAAGCCAGGCAGTACATTTCCTTCTTTTTAAATCAATGTGAGTCAGATTTTAAGTTACACCCAAAAAATATGAGCTAACACAGGCTGTTTCTCAATTCAATGTTTTTCGCATACTGTTCCCTCCACAAAGCCTGTCCTTCTCCCCGTGGCCAGTGCAACGTTTCAGCTAGCACGTACCAGCCAGGATGTCCCATGTTTATACTAAAAGCAAACCATTTGGGAGATGAAAAAACTCAACCTCAAAAGACATCGTGGGCCATTATCAATGCCACACAGCTAGGAAGTGGAGCCAAGACTAAAAACCAGGTTTGTCTAGCTCTAAGCACTCACTCTCCCAACCACATGACGCTGCCTGCCCCGTGGAACCTGGCTTCACACGTTTTGCTCAAGCATCACCTCTGTGAAGCTTCCCAAAGCTTCTCCCTGCTCCCCACGCCAGCCACAATGTGCCACCTGGGCAACTCATCCACAGAAAGGAAATGCCAGGGGGCTCAAAATAAATGCCCATGGAGAAAGTCCAATATCTTCTCCAGTTTGTCCATGAACTTTTTGGAAAACTTCTCATGTTTTCATACTTGACTCCCTCAGACTGCAAGCTCCTTACCATAACAGAAAGATTCCGGTACCTCCAGGGCCTCTCCACTGATGGAGAGCAACCAACAAAGAAGGATAACTTATCTGTCACAGATTAAATCTCATTAAAATAAACAACTACCATTACCCTCAGATAATGGAGTATTTCTGAAGCATGGCATCTAATGAGAATCTAGTGGACACAGAGCACAGACCAGCCAGTGTGTGCCATGTTTAGCAACGTTAATACTAAAAACAAACCTAAGGAATCAATTTGGCGGATGAACAACTCAGGCTTACGGACATCTAGGGTCATTATCCATGGCACACAGCTAGAAGTGGGGTCAAGACTCAAGCTAGGTTTGCTTAGCTCTAAGCTTGGTATTATACACATGCTGCAATATATGAAATGCTGCTTGTTTTGTACTCTGAAAAAGCGAGAACACAGAGAGGCCAGAAATACACACACAAACTCACTGCCAATTCCAACTCATAGTGCCTCTATAGGCCAAGCAAAATTGCCCTTTAAATCTTTACAGAAGCAGAAACCTCATCCTTTTCCTGCAGAATTGTTGATGGTTTCAAACTGCTGACCTTGTGGTGAAATCTCCATCCCCTGGTGGTGGGTGTAGTTGTTACCCTTTGGGCAAAATGCAAGGTCAGTAGTTCAAAACCACCAGCCACTCTGCAGGAGAAAGATGGGGATTTTTACTCCTATAAAGAGTTATAGTCTTGGAAACCCACAAGAGCAGTTCTACGCTATCCTTTAGCATCGCTATAAGTCAGCATCAACTTACGGCAGTGAGTTTATTTTATATTTCAGTAAGCATCAACTTCTCAGGGTTGTTGTGGAACTACATAATCTACAAGTGACCTTTCAGCCTTGGTTATCACTCCCATCTTAATCCCTCCGCAGAACACTTCCCCTGACGTTTTTCCGGACTTAATCCTTTATTGCAGTCTCCCTCCTAGGAGAACATGGCCTTTGTTGGGGTTATCAGTGTACCCCAAGGCCTTATCCAGAACCTTGCAGGGATTCAATAATAAACGTCTACAGAGGAAGTGTTAGCCACGGACAATGAAAATACACGACCCACTTTAAAATATATGTTCAAAACCAGACACCAGTGAGCAGGCCCTGCGTTTTTCGAAACGTTGACAAATCGGGTTCCCAGCTTGCCCTGTCCTTTGCTGCCTCACTAGGAATGAACCCTACCATCAACGGTTTCAACAGCATTTGGTAACCAACCAACCCTTCAAGAAACCACCATGTTGGAATTCGGCGAAAGGAGTACCGGTAAGCAACTCAGCCCCAGACCCCACCTCATCGGCAAACTTTCCAAGTGAAACCTGGTTGCGACGAAACACTGAGCAGACTGGAACGGAATGAAGCAAAAGCAAAACCGCGAACTGCATAGACATCGTGCCAGTCATTCATTCGGCATGGCAGGCTCCGTTTTGGTTTGGGCTCCCCCCAACCCACCCCGAAGACAACGCTGCCCCATTTCTGCAGACAGCCAGGGCACTCGCTGATCCAATAAGGACCGAGCCACTGTCGATCGGCAGCCCCAGGAACTCCGAGTCGACACCCTATGCCCGTCACAACTGGCAACTCGACTCCCAGCCCACCCCACCCGCCTACCCCGCGGGTCTCGAGAGCAGGAGGCGACAACCCGCGACCTCCCATCTGCTTCTCGGCCTCCCCGCCTCCACTCGTCCGCGGGAAGACCCCCCCGCCGGGGGCTGCC